CACACACACTAAATAAATGTTTAAAAAAAAAAGACACTGAACGGTGAAGTAACTTGCTTAGGATCACATGCCTACTAAGGTGCTCTACACCTGGATCTGGCTTCAGATTTATACTCTAAGCCCATGGTGGCGAACCTATGGTATGTGTGCTGCAGCAGGCTGTATCACTGAACACTGTGAGGTTAATCATCACTGCTCTAAGCCATAAAATGTTCTTTTGCCTCTCCTCATTTTGCTGAGTTTCTTAATCTATACCATGAAAAGTCAGATGTGATGATTAATTAAAGTCCTTTTCAGAGTAGACATTTTATTCTTCCAGCCAGCCCTCTAGCAGCCTATTTTAGGGCAGTAGTGGGACAAGAGTGACTCTACCTCTATATCCCCAGGTAATCAAGTTAAAGTGAAGTGTGCTGCTTAGTCTGGGAGTAAGCCAGAGAATCTACTCAAGAACTGGATAATCCATACATTAAGCCAGGAAGGGGAAAAAAAAATGTTCAGTGTGAGGCCTCCTTCATTGCTCCAATGAGATCATATTTGTGTCTTAAGAGGCCAGCAGTTTTTCTGAACAGGCCCTGCATTCACCCACACAACATACTATTATAGGCTGGAAGTCACTTATAACGCTTGCAAGGAACCACAGCAGACTACATCTCAGAACACTAAGTAACTCTTGTCTTCTGTGCAGATAAGGGTCTCTATGAGGACCTGTGTTTTTCTTGTCCCAAGAAAAAAATGCCACTTATATTCACTCAGACAGTTGACTACACTCAATTTTACCTACAACTAACTATATGTTCTGGGACAGAGTTCACTCTGCAGTCCAGGCTGGCCTTGAACTTGAGGCAATCCTACTGTCTCAGCTTCATTAGCATTAGGATTATAGGTGCAAGATCATGCAACTAAGAGGATTTCACAAATTCCCTAAAATCTCTCCCTACACTCTGTAATCTAGGCTTGTCTGCCCCTGGGATCCAGCACTGTCCCCAATATTGTCTTGGGATTTCTAAGAAGATGTGCTCAGGAGACAAATCATCTACCAGCTTAATTGATCCTATGTGGAAAAGCAAGAGCCGCCTTCTTCCACATCAACTTGTTCTGAGGAAATTTAAACAAGAAAGAGCTATAATTCAGTCTCTAGTGGTTATAAAATTGAGACATGTTTAAGAATATTTCATACCCCATTTTTTTCCTGACACCCAAACCTCATAGAACATTAGAAGAGCTTAAATAAACAGCCAAAAGCATCCTAGTTCCCACAGCACTGTTCATCCATTTATTCCAAAAAAGGAATCAGTGGGATTGCCAATTACATTTAATAGGTGACATTTCTCCCCTGTGGGCTCTGAAAACTATAGGTTACCAAAGAAACCACAAAATTTCAGCCATAATTGAAGAAGAAATTAAAACAAGAAGGTATTATTTTCCTACAAGGCTAGCAACAATTTAAGTGCTAGGGTTTAGAGAAACATGCAGTCTCAAGTACATTTGGCAGGCTTATAAGTCTATGAAGCCTTTGGTCGTGAGGTATAGTTCAGAAAACTTTTATCAAAAAATTGTCCTTAAAGATATTTGGTAAAAGTAGGCCAAGGAGATGTATACCCAGGTTCAATGCAGCATTGTACATAATAGCCAAGAAGTCCTCGTTTATAAGTGTATCATATTAATAAAATATTGTAGGGCTGGTGAGATGGCTCAGTGGTCTAAAGCACCTACTTAGAACAAACTAAGCCAATCAAAGTACAAGGACCGCGGTTCAATCCCCCAGCACCACATGCCAGCCAGCCGCGCCCCCTGGTGGGCTGAGCAGGCCACACACAAAATAAATAAATAA